TGGCTAGTTCGAATGTTGAACAAATTGGATGAAAGTTTTCTGGCTAGCTCAAATGTTGAACAAATTGGATGAAAGTTTTCTGGCTAGTTCGAATGTTGAACAAATTGGATGAAATCTTTCTGGCTAGTTCGAATGTTGAACAAATTGGACAAAAGTTTTCTGGCTAGATTGAATGTTCAACACATTGGATGAAATTGTTCTGGCTAGATCGAATGTCGAACAAATTGGATGAAAGTTTTCTGGCTAGCTCGAATGTTGAACAAATTGGATGAAAGTTTTCTGGCTAGATCGAATGTTGAACAAATGGGATGAAAGTTTTCTGGCTAGCTCGAAAGTTGAACAAATAGGATGAAAGTTTTCTGGCTAGATCGAATGTTGAACAAATTGGATGAAAGTTTTCTGGCTAGATCGAATGTTGAACAAATTGGATGAAAGTTTTCTGGCTAGCTCGAAAGTTGAACAAATAGGATGAAAGTTTTCTGGCTAGATCGAATGTTGAACAAATTGGATGAAAGTTTTCTGGCTAGATCGAATGTTGAACAAATTGGATGAAAGTTTTCTGGCTAGATCGAATGTTGAACAAATTGGACAAAAGTTTTCTGGCTAGCTCGAATGTTGAACAAATTGGATGAAAGTTTTCTGGCTAGATCGAATGTTGAACAAATTGGATGAAAGTTTTCTGGCTAGATCGAATGTTGAACAAATTGGATGAAAGTGTTCTGGCTAGAACACAACCACACATACACACCCACATGGATATAATCTTTATATAAACGCCGCAGGATATTTTTGAAGGCAATTTTTTTCTTTCAGACTTTTTTCTCCGGGGGGGGGGGGGGGGGGCGGCGGGGGCACTTTATATATTTGGGCGGGGGGCAGTCTACACTTTCCGGGGGGGGGGCACTAGTAAAAGTACATGTTTACTATATAAATTCCATCACGTTCGGGGGGCGGTAGACTTTCTTCGGAGGGGGGGGGGGTTCCGAAGAAACTCTGCCCCTACCCCCCCCCCCCCCATCCCCAGATCCCGGGAGAGGCGTGAAAGAAACACTGTATCCATGAGATAGAGATGTTCTACCTAGAACGTCATTTAGACCTTAGTCTGAAAAGTTAGGGACTCGCTTAATTAATATATAGTAAATCTTAGGAACTAATTAATTACAACGTTTAAATAATGTTGATTGAATATTAAAACAAAATAATTAACAGCTAATTAACTCCAGATGTTGATTTTCTCCCACCCTCTTAGATCTTTCATGTGGTGATCACGTGATATACCACGTGACAGACCACGTGATGTACGACTTGATAACACTGAAATCACGTGATAACGATAAAGGTTCCGGCTACAAACATGTGGCATATCGTACCCGGAACAACTTAATGTAGCACTTTGGCAACATTGTTTTCTGGGTGGCCGCAGGGTTGTGGCGTGAATTATTTGATTGAGATCTAGAGTTGATTGGTGGGAACTAGAGCTGATTGGTGGGAACTAGAGCTGATTGGTGGGAACTAGAGTTGATTGGTGGGAACTAGAGTTGATTGGTGGGAACTAGAGTTGATTGGTGGGAACTAGAGTTGATTGGTGGGAACTAGAATTGATTGGTGGGAACTAGAGTTGATTGGTGGGAACTAAAGCTGATTGGTGGGAACTAACTAGAGATGATTGGTGGGAACTAGAGTTGATTGGTGGGAACTAACTAGAGATGATTGGTGGGAACTAGAGTTGATTGGTGGGAACTAACTAGAGATGATTGGTGGGAACTAGAGTTGATTGGTGGGAACTAGAGCTGATAGGTGGGAACTAAAGCTGATTGATGAAATATACGAACACTTTTTTTCTGACCCCTTAGTGAAGGTTTCATTTTCGATCCCGATCGTCCTTCGGGATAATGATGTCAGCACATTATATATATATATATATATATATATATATATATATATATATATATATATATATATATATATATATATATATATATATATATATATATATATAAAATGTGACGATGTCTGCGTGGTCACGTGCGTGCGAGTTATGAGAACAAAAATTGAATTCAAAGAGACAAAAGCCAATCATTCCATCTTAGGAGCGGAAATTCCCGAAGGCTATTCTTATCTTCACATCGCCACAACTCTCATAAAAAAACGAATGTATGGGTACGTGTCTACAGACAAAAATAGCTGGAAAAGGACAGTTATGGGGTGTGTGTTGGGGTTCAGCTAATTTAGCTAATAGTCCCCAGCTAGCTGAACGTGCCTGGCTAGCATGAAACGCCAAGACTCAATACCCATAAAGTTGGCCTTGACCTTAGCTTTCATTGGGGTCACGGAAATTCGATCGAACATTTTTGTTGCAGTTAAGTGAAGTAGACATTTGTGAGAGGCGGGGATGATGTATTGAGTTGGGGGTGGCAGAGAAGCAGGAAGGGGGTGAGAGAGAGGGGGATAGAATGGCAAAGAGGGATAGAGTGAGTTGGCAAAGAGGGATAGGGTGAGTTGGCAAAGAGGGATAGAGTAGGTTGGTAGAGAGGGATAGAGTAGGTTGGTAGAGATAGACTTGGTTTGCAGATAAGACAAAAAGTGAGGGAGTAGGTAGAGAGGTGGTAGAGGGAGAGAGTAGTTAGGTAGAGAGTGATTCAGTAGCGTGACAGAGAGACAGAGAAATAGAGAGGGAGAGAGAAATGTTTAAGTCCCATTGCAACCCGTCTAGCGTTGCTGGTAGAAATCGATATGAAATAAAGCGCTGTCTAGGCTGTTGCTGGTAGAAATCGATATGAAATAAAGCGCTGTCTAGGCTGTTGCTGGTAGAAATTGTTCGTTTTTTTAATGGAGTGTTGGACAAGGGAGGTTAGCCGAGTTGGTGGACAAGGGGAGGTTAGCCGAGTTGGTGGACAAGGGGAGGTTAGCCAAGTTGGTGGACAAGGGGAGGTTAGCCAAGTTGGTGGACAAGGGGAGGTTAGCCGAGTTGGTGGACAAGGGGAGGTTAACCGAGTTGGTGGACAAGGGGAGGTTAGCCGAGTTGGTGGACAAGGGGAGGTTAACCGAGTTGGTGGACAAGGGGAGGTTAGCCGAGTTGGTGGACAAGGGGAGGTTAACCGAGTTGGTGGACAAGGGGAGGTTAGCCGAGTTGGTGGACAAGGGGAGGTTAGCCGAGTTGGTGGAGGATGTGAGCTCATAAAAGGGGGATTACTCGCATGGTGTTATTAAGGACATTAATAAAACATCAACATAGCTCCACACAATCGGAAGAAAAAAACGTTTTATTGCAAATAATGGTTACGGTAATTGACGTTCTTTAAATAACATGGAAATTATCTGCCCTTGGTTGCTCTCTGCGTTCCCAAAGCTGTTCTGGACCCCAAACAATTTCTCCCCCCCCCCCCCCCCCCCCGCCAAAGCTGTTCTGGGTCCCCAAAACTTTTCTGGGCCCCAAAAGTTGTTCTGGGCCCCCACAAATATTTACTGGGCCCCCAAACAAATCTGTTCTGGGTCCCCAAAACATTTATGGGCCCCCACAAACGCAAGACTCCCTAAACCAAACTAGCTCTATTTTTCTTTCATAACCAGACGTAGACTAAAATTATAATTTGTTAATTGTAATCGTGCTAGAGCAGCCTCAAGGAGCAAAACTCTTCAGCTTACATCAATTACTCGTCAGCTTACATCTAATAGACTACAAACTTGCGAGCTTACATCAATTACTCGCGAGCTTACATTAATTAGACTAATGAAGTCATGGACCAGTTCGTGGTGGTCAGCCATCGATCTTGTCTGGCTCGTGTCGTCTCTCTACTCACGTGTTGACCTTTGAACTATTGACCCCACGTTTTCTGCGGCGCTCCCCATGGACGGGGACTATGAGGTCGTGACCTTGTGTCGATACCATGCTAGTCGTCCGGCATGCTGTATCAGTCGTCCGGCATGCTGTATCAGTCGCCCGGCATGCTGTATCAGTGGTCCGGCATGCTGTATCCGTTATCCGACATTTGAAATCCAGTCGTCCGACATAAAATGTTGTGTACGTTTGGTTTCCGTTTCAAGTCATTCTTTGATTTCCTTTTGTTCTTTTGTCTTAGTGTTTTCGTGCTTAGGTATTTTGTCCTTATTTCATGTGTCCTTATGTAACTCATGTCCTGTGTCCTTAAATCATATGTCCTTATGTACTCACGTCACACGTCCTCATGTTCTGTGTCCTTATGACCTTATGTCCTCATGTCCTGTGTCCTTATGCCGTTATGTCTTGTGTCCTTATGTCATGTGTCCGTATGTCCTCATGTTCTGTGTCCTTATGTCCTTATGTCCTTATGTCTTTATGTCCTTATGTCCTCATGTCCTGTGTCCTTATGCCGTTATGTCTTGTGTCCTTAATTCATGTGTCCTCATGTCCTGTGTCCTCATGTCCTTATGTCCTTATGCATCAAGGTTTAAACCTATAAATATTTATGCATCAAGGTTTATACCTATAAATATTTATGCATCAAGGTTTAAACCTATAAATATCCATGTATCAAGGTTTAAACCTATGAATATCCATGCGTCAAGGTTTAATCCTAGCGACAGGTGTCTGCTATTTAATTATGCTAAACTGTGAAAAACAATGAGAAACAGAAATCACCTCTCATGTTTGATGATTGTATCTCAACACACAGCAAACATGAATAGCGTGTCACAATTAGTCACCAAATCCTACCGACTTCACTTGGCTGAGGCGGATCTAGGTGGGGAGCTGTGGGGCGAGCAACCCCCTCTATCTATTCACATATTAAAGACTTGTAAGGGTCATACTTCAACATTTCAGTCATACCTGTTGCGTGCGGGCTGTGTAAATTGAATATATCTGTATTGAATTGTATTCACCAATAGATTATTTCCTTTGAATTAAGAAGATGTTAATTGCGATTTCTTCATTAAGTTATACTTATGTTATCATGACCTCTGTAACTGATGCACGAGTGTCCTTGACCTTTCTCATTATAAACGAGTTTTCCCCTCCCCAGGGTGTCTTTCGGCAGCAAAAGTTCCGTCATAGAAACATGGATCATCGATGACGCCGAAGTGACGCGCAGAAAGTGCGGTGACGTCAGAGAGATCGGCGGTGATTTCTATGACGACACTATGACATCATCGACCGACGCCATGGTGGCCAACAACAAACCAGCCAATCACAAGATTCCCAACAGACACGTGACCATTGGTGACTCGACCTACGTCATCATGACTCCGGACAACACCCCCGAGAGCCCAGACGTCGATGACAGTTTTGCCATCAGCCGCACGGTGGCGCCCCCACCTAGCAGCAGTGTTACCGTCTGCTACCCAACTTCCGGTCGTCTGGGAGGCCCCCACCACGGGGAGACCCCAGAGGCCCCGACGACCCGACCCCTCAGGTCACCCCCTGCACGGAGCGGGTCCCCCAAGGAGGAGTATTACAACGTTCTACAGCCAGAGCCTAAGGACCAAACGTGAGTACTACGTCATTCTCTTTAACTAACTTGAGTACTACGTCATTCTCTTTAACTAACTTGAGTACTACGTCATTCTCTTTAACTAACATGAGTACTACGTCATACTCTTTAACTAACATGAGTACTACGTCATTCTCTTTAACTAACTTGAGTACTACGTCATTCTCTTTAACTAACTTGAGTACTACGTCATTCTCTTTAACTAACATGAGTACTACGTCATTCTCGTTAACTAACAGGAGTGCTACGTCATACTCTTTAACTAACTTGAGTACTACGTCATACTCTTGAACTAACATGAGTACTACGTCATAGTCTTTAACAAACTTGAGCACTACGTCATACTCTTTAACTAACTTGAGCACAAGCTGATACTCTTTAACTAATTTAAGCACTACCTAAAACCCTTTAACTAACTTCAGCACTACGTCTCAATCTAACGTAAGCACAACGTTACACTTGTGAATTAACTTGAGTAATACGTGATATACTTTTACTAACTACCTCATACTTTCTTCCTAAGGTGTGCTTTACGTCACACACTAACGTATGTCCCACGTGGTACACAAATGACGTATGTCCCACGTGAGACACAAAGATACTCTCTATTGAACCAACCTACAAGCTCATACAGTCTCACATACGAAATGTGTACAATCCCCTCTGTACGCAGTATGTAACATAGCCATATTCTGTCACTGCTCATCTAGATCGTGTGTTCTTTGTACACCAGCGCAAGTTTCCATAGAAACTCTTACATTTTGCGTTGCTCCATAAAAATCGTAAAAAGTGCGTCTTGCTCTAGCCATTGCGTTTTTCTTTGTTAAACAAACGTAGACATAGCAAAGGTAGACGATCGTAAACACAGACCCAAGAAGTTGATCAACAGGCCAGTCGTTAAAACGATGATTCAAACTTTCAACACAAACAAAGAAAAAGTCCCTAATTTTTGGAGTTGTACCGTAAGAAAGATAAAACAAATCTTGGCCAAGTCAAGCCGACAGCTGGATGGCCCTGGCCGAGGACCTGGCTAGAAGTGCCAGGATTGTTCCCTGCCGCCCGCCATTTGTTGGCGGAGAGTCGCGGTTATTTCCCTTGGTTCGTTACACGACAGGACCACGTAAACGTTGCTAAATGTTGCCTAATCTTACCTCCCTTTGTGGAGAGTTATCTCCTGGCCAAACATTACGGTCTAATGCCACGATCTCATATGACGTGATACCTTTCAACAGCGCCAAGGCTTGTTCTAATGTCTTGAGACCCCCAGATATGAATAACTTTATGGTAAAAAAAATAGTTGACCAATACAGGTGATTTAAAAAGCCGACTGCTGTTAGGTGACAAGGTCAAGACTTTACAAATGTAAACTTTTGTTTTCAAACGGCTTAACTTGAAGAGAAATATTTCTTGGCTTTACTAGATTCTCTTAGGTTCTCTTAGTGCCAGACATGTGGCATGTGACATGTGACATGTGACATGTAGCATGTGACATGTGGCATGTGACATGTGACATGTGACATGTGACATGTGACATGTGGCATGTGGCATGTGACATGTGGCTTTTGTCCAACCAAGACAAACTACAAGGCAGCAATTGTTGATTTTGGAGTTGTCTCTCCTAGATAAGTAGCTGTCCTCATCTGCCCAGGGTTCGAACTCGGGACTTTTCGGTTTAGCAGCCATGAGCCTAACCGACCCGACCACGCCGATTATTAGACTAATCCGCTGTATTATTTGACACATTTGCTAATCAGTCAAGTTATTTGACTAATCCGCCAACTTGTTTGACTAAGACGCTAGAGTGACTAATCCGCCAACTTGTTTGACTAAGACGCTAGATTGACTAATCTGCCATATGTTTTATGCCAACACACGGGTAGAACGTTAACGCCTTACCTAATCTTGTGGTATAATTCAACCAACATAAACTAACCCCCCCCCCCCCCCCAAACTTACCTAGCCGACATGAACCCCCCCCCCCTTCCTGAAACTTACCTAATCTTATGGTATAATTCAACCGACATAAACTAACCCCCCCCCCCCCCCAAACTTACCTAGCCGACATGAACCCCCCCCCCTTCCTGAAACTTACCTAATCTTGTGGTATAATTCAACCGACATAAACTCCCTAAAACACACATTTCTGTGGTCATAAAATTTGTTGTTGAAAGTTTTTCCACAAAGGAGACGAAAGACAGGCAAACGATTTCTTTGGTGTAACGACGGGTAGTTGGGTGTACGGAGGCTGGGGTACGGTAGAGTACATGACGTGGGGGGGGGGGGGGTTAAAGCACACCTGTGGATGGTTTGATGAGATCCTGACATCTGGACATTGTTTTGTCAGGGATGTGAGGGTCTGTGTGAGGTTTTAAGGTGTGTGGGTTGTAAGGGACTGGCTGTGTGGGGTGTAAGGGACTGGCTGTGTGGGGTGTAAGGGACTGGCTGTGTGGGGTGTAAGGGACTGGCTGTGTGGGGTGTAAGGGACTGGCTGTGTGGGGTGTAAGGGACTGGCTGTGTGGGGTGTAAGGGACTGGCTGTGTGGGGTGTAAGGGACTGGCTGTGTGGGGTGTAAGGGACTGGCTGTGTGGGGTATGAGGGACTGGCTGTGTGGGGTGTAAGGGACTGGCTGTGTGGGGTGTAAGGGACTGGCTGTGTGGGGTGTAAGGGACTGGCTGTGTGGGGTGTAAGGGACTGGCTGTGTGGGGTGTAAGGGACTGGCTGTGTGGGGTGTAAGGGACTGGCTGTGTTGGATGTCAGAGTCAGTCTATGTGGGGTGTTACATACAGATTCTCTCCATACATACAGATTCTGTCCATACATGCATATTCTGACCGTATATACAGATTCTATCAGTACATTCACATTCTATCGTCTAGTGTACACTTCACATTGTGAAACATCTTGTTGGTTTCCCTCAGACTTCACATTGTGAAACATCGTGTTGGTTTACCTCAGACTTCACATTGTGAAACATCGTGTTGGTTTACCTCAGACTTCACATTGTGAAACATCGTGTTGGTTTACCTCAGACTTCACATTGTGAAACATCGTGTTGGTTTACCTCAGACTTCACATTGTGAAACATCGTGTTGGTTTCCCTCAGACTTCACATTGTGAAACATCTTGTTGGTTTACCTCAGACTTCACATTGTGAAACATCTTGTTGGTTTACCTCAGACTTCACATTGTGAAACATCGTGTTGGTTTACCTCAGACTTCACATTGTGAAACATCGTGTTGGTTTACCTCAGACTTCACATTGTGAAACATCGTGTTGGTTTCCCTCAGACTTCACATTGTGAAACATCGTGTTGGTTTACCTCAGACTTCACATTGTGAAACATCGTGTTGGTTTACCTCAGACTTCACATTGTGAAACATCGTGTTGGTTTACCTCAGACTTCACATTGTGAAACATCGTGTTGGTTTCCCTCAGACTTCACATTGTGAAACATCGTGTTGGTTTCCCTCAGACTTCACATTGTGAAACATCTTGTTGGTTTACCTCAGACTTCACATTGTGAAACATCGTGTTGGTTTCCCTCAGACTTCACATTGTGAAACATCGTGTTGGTTTACCCCAGACTTCACATTGTGAAACATCTTGTTGGTTTACCTCAGACTTCACATTGTGAAACATCGTGTTGGTTTCCCTCAGACTTCACATTGTGAAACATCGTGTTGGTTTACCTCAGACTTCACATTGTGAAACATTTTGTTGGTTTCCCTCAGACTTCACATTGTGAAACATCGTGTTGGTTTCCCTCAGACTTCACATTGTGAAACATCTTGTTGGTTTACCTCAGACTTCACATTGTGAAACATTTGATTTTTTTTTACCTTTCCCCCACCTCACCTCCCCCACACTTGTCGATAGAAATAGTTGGCCAGCTGCCTAAGTAATCCGAGCATTAGAAGAATTTCTCAACCAAATTAATTGGCCAGTTTGGATTTAAACCAAAATTATTTTTTTTACCATTTTACCTGTGAACTGGCTAGATTGGGCACTGATTCGGTTCTGTTGAACGAAAGCTTCTCCTGCCGACATCTACTTACGAGGTGTAGTTTGTCGCGACAACTAGAAAAGTTTGGATAGTTGGTTTCGTTGAGGAATTGAATCGTCACAACAAAGACTCCACCTATCTGGTAAACAGTCACAGAAAGATAATGATTTTACCGTCAAGAGATAATCCTCACCCTCCTAATTCTCTCTCCCCCCCCCCCCACCCCCCGTCTTGTCTGTTGTTAACAACATTATCGGCCGTACATTGCGCCACCTAGCGGGGGATTTTATGCTGCAACATAAGGTAGAAATTATCCGAGGAATTCCGGCGAGTTGATTTGTTTACACCGGAAGTTGTGTTTTGCTGGAGGGGTGGTGAGTAGGGTGGGGCAAATTTGTCAAGCAGGTCATGGGTTGTCTCTGTCAGGATTACTGGGCAGCTTGTTGTCATAATACATACAGTCAGTCGTTGGGATTGTTGGTCAGTTATTGGCTTTGTTGGTCAGTTATTGGGATTGTTGGTCAGTCGTTGGGTTAGTTGGTCAGTTATGGGATGGTTGGTCAGTCGTTGGGATTGTTGGTCAGTCGTTGGGATTGTTGGTCAGTCGTTGGGATTGTTGGTCAGTCGTTGGAATTGTTGGTCAGTTATGGGATTGTTAGTCAGTTATGGGATGGTTGGTCAGTCGTTGGGATTGTTGGTCAGTCGTTGGGATTGTTGGTCAGTCGTTGGGATTGTTGGTCAGTCGTTGGAATTGTTGGTCAGTTATGGGATTGTTGGTCAGTTATGGGATTGTTAGTCAGTTATGGGATTGTTGGTCAGTCGTTGGGATTGTTGGTCAGTCGTTGGAATTGTTGGTCAGTTATGGGATTGTTGGTCAGTTATGGGATTGTTGGTCAGTCGTTGGGATTGTTGGTCAGTCGTTGGGATTGTTAGTCAGTTATGGGATTGTTGGTCAGTCGTTGGAATTGTTGGTCAGTTATGGGATTGTTGGTC